TTGTAACAATTTGTTTTTAGTGACGAGCGTTAATCCTCTTTTGAGTGATTAGCAACTGGACGTAGGGTCTTTTGATCCGAACCAGTATAAACCTACTGTGTAATATTTTCTTCACTTCTCTATTTACATTTACGCAGTTTTTAATCGGTAAAATTTGGGAAAAATTTTGAAAACCTAATTTTTATTAAGAAACCAATTCACCCCCCCTCTTGGTTTTTGTCCGACCATGCGAACATTCCGCTGCGCGATTCTAACAAATATAGTTATCATTATTGTAAGAACAGATGAGTACATGAGTTACTACATTGTAAGTAATCCCCACTCTGCAAAGAAGAAATTTTATTAATTGAAAAACTCTTAAGTTTCATACATTGGGGCATTTCTTAACTAACACAATCTAATGATGCAAAGTAGATGCACGTGCAACATTAGGGCATGTTCTTCTGCTATGATTAGGGGTATGCCAATATGAACATTTTTTAATCCTACTTTAATTTTCTGTAATATTCATATCAATTCTTATACGACTTGATTTTGGTTGGCCCTTTGAAGTTCTTTTCATTTATGGATCTGCACACAAGTAGGTCTTATGTATGTTAGCCAATATTCTTCATTTCGCAACAACGCAAATTGTGTTTCGTATACCTTTGAAACTTGTTGTAAGATATACACTGGATGAATGTAGTTGTTGAAGTCATGATGTGCATGTAGCAAGAACATGTGAACAAGGCATGTGAAATTTCTGGAATTTTCCACGGTCACACCATAACTCATCAAGGCGAACTACAAACTTCCCTGCTGGTCGAACTTCACGTGGGTTTTGTGTTTCTTCTACTACAAATTTTATGGTAAATCTGTCAAAAGTTATGACCCTATGCGTGTTTGTCTGTGTTTGTGCTTCCTCTAAATTTGTGACCAAAATTTCAGAGTATATATGACCAACATTGATCATAGCATCTATCTGCCTCCCTCTTTCAATGAAAAATTTGTTGCAGTGGGTGTACGTTGCGTTGACCATGGAGCAAATAGGTAGATTTCTTATTTTTTTTTTCAAAACAGAGTTGATAGACTCTGCTATGTTGATCGTCATGTGGCCCCAACGCCATTCATTGTCCCATGCAAGTGCCCATTTTTCTCTAGGTATCTCATCCAACTAACTAGCTAGTTTTATGTCAAATTGTCTCAAGATGTTGTAATAATAATAGAATCATGGTTCATTCATCTCATATGCTACAACAATATTAAAAAACATAGTTAATATAAATATTTATTAGCAACACTTAAATAATGAATAAATTGTAACAAATTTGTAACAAAGAAATTACCCATATTTATAACATCTTTCCTTAGTGCAGTGTTTTTAAAACGTCACATAAAATTATGTGCAATGTGTTTAATGCAGTAGACATGCACTGAATTATTTTCTATCCATCGGCTTCCATTTCTCATGTATGCACTTCTAATAGATTCATGTCGGTCTGATATGATGCATAATCCTTGCTTGGGGTGTGACATATCTTTGGAGGTTTTTTAAGAAAAAAAACAAGCATCACTTGTTTCACCTTCAACCACTGTAAACGCAATGGGGAGGATGTTGTTGCGATCATCTTGTGCTACTGCAACCATCAAGGTACCTCTATATTTTTTGTACTAAAAATTTTTGTCCACTTGAACAATGGACTTGCAGTGAACAAATCCATCTATGCATGACCTAAACATCCAAAACACACGCTTAAAAATATTTGAATTTTGTTGAAGGGTCTCACCTTGGTAAGCTGGTTGTGACTGCAGTTTGTAGATGAATCCGGGAACAAATTGTTGCATGGCTTGTAACAAATAAGGTAACTTCTTATATGAATCCTCCCAATTTTCGTAGATGGTCTTCACTACCTTTTGTTTGGCCAGTCAGGCCTTCCTGTACGTTATAGTATAACCTATTGTTAATTGGATGTAGGCTATGATTGTGAAGATTAGTGTTGACAAATCAACATCAATTATTTGACCAATTATTTGGGAAATCATTTTATATCCCAACTTGTTGTGGTCTTGGCTAATTAATTAATGATGAAACACATGTATGGTGCCCTTCAAGCTTCATAATCTCCCAATATTGTTCTCTTGTGTGTAATATTGCTCGACATCTCCAATTGCATTGGTTATCAATACATTCAATAACATATCTACTTTGGTTTGAAATTTTCACCTTGTATATGCAATGATTGACAATGTGAAAGCGGTTGATGGCATCTTGAACTTGTTCTTTTATTATGAAACGTTGTCCAAGAAATAGAATTCCTGCCAGAGAAACAAAAGACTCTTTGTCCAACGCATGGTCATACTCTGGGTCTTGTTGTTGAATGTGACTTTCAAAGTTAAGAAAATATTGTGGTGGGTTGTATGGTTCCATGAAGTTTGTTGCATGTGTAGGGATATGTGGTTGTTCGTCCTTTGAATCATCTTGGTGTTGGCTGAGAATTTCATCTTCGTCTTCGTCCTCACTAAAAGGATCAACGACTTCAATTGGAAGGCCATTAATTTCGTTCTCTTGTATGGGTAGTTCTTCGTTATTGTTTGTGGAAGGCCCACTTAGAAGTTGAGTAAAAGAGATGTAGTCATTATGTGTAGGTATTTCTGGGTCAATGTTTGAGAAAGCTTGGTAGGGTGAGGGTGAGATTTCAGGTGAGTGTGTGTTGAGGTATGAAGAAGAAGTTTTAAATGTAACAAAAATTTCAATACCACATAGACTTGAGTTTGAATCATGAACATCAAACATGATCTCCACGTCGTCATCATCTTTTAACTCAACAGTAATGAAGTTGTTGATCCCAACTCCGAGTCTAGTTGGGCAGCGAAAATGGATAATTACTACATTTTCGTGGGGTTCTTTCTCTAATTTCATGTGGATCAATTTCTTCAACCTTTGTAAAGAAATTTCTCTCTTTAAAGGAATAAGTTTTACAGTCTCAGTATTGAAGGTAACTCCCTCCATTAGACATGGGTTCATGGAACCATCATAGTGGACAATAGTAGACACTACACCCATTTTAGGAGTGTGGAACAAAAAGAAGACTAAAGGTAAGAAGAAGAAGAAAGAATGTAAAGAGCTTCAGAGATTTAGGAGTGTGCAATGTGAGAACTTCAAAGAATGAAAGTGGTCTATTTATAATGAAGTCCAATGGTTTGAATCCAAGGCACCCTCACATGGCTTCTGACACACACAAAACCCAAGAAAAGTGGGTGGGTCAACATCTCTTTAAATGTGCTTCTGCTTTTGACTAATCCAAGGCTCCCTCACATGGCTTTTGCTTTTATCTAACCCAATGCAGGGAATCCACGATTGGAATCCTGACTTGGGTGGGTGACTCATCATTAGATTCTTGACTTGTGTGCATCAAAAAGGCATGGGAATCCTGACTTGGGTGGGTGACTTAGTATTGGATTTCTTACTTGTATGCATTAGAAATTATATTGGGAAGTGCTGTTTTGGGAAAAAAATTTAAAAAAATTATTAATTATGTAAAAAAGTTGCAAAATAATCGATCATAATTTAGAATAATCGATTATTTTAAAATTATAATCGATTAGTTTAGCTTATAATCGATTATAAATAGTTGCGGGTTTCCTCGCTCAAGCGAGAATTGATCACGAGCTAAAGCTTCAATGCAGTTAGTCACAT